TATAAAGGATTAAGGAGACAGTCTCACGTATTAATTGAGTTTAAGGTTGATAAGAAGTTGACAGAAAGAATATTTTAGACCCACATTAAAAGAATCAAAACGGTAAAAGGATAGTCAATACTATTGTAACGCAAGTGTATTCAGTAGTAGTCTAGCCACTTACCACCTTGTATTGAAGTTATAGATGTGGGGTACAGTAAAATTTCGTCTAATAGATGTATGAAAATAAATCTCATCATTTTCCATCCCTATGCCAGTTAAGACGGTTAATGCAAGTTTCTGATACGTGTCATGAGCTTTCAACTTATACGGTACTTGGTTTGGTGTAGAAAGAGGATCACAGTTTGGGTTCAAATTGTCTGTGACACAGAATTGTGTAACATTGTGACATAATATTGTTGTATGAAATGGGTTTTGACTCTGCACACTGTTTACATGCAGAAAAACCTTCATAACACACAAGGGGACGGGTAATAACCGGAAAAGCATGACATGTGACCTTTAAAGTCTTCTTTCAGCACTTCTGACTGTTGTTTCACAACATCATTTGTTCCAATATGCAGTACCACTACCACATTCTTCACATTCGGATGTTCCGTCCCAATATGCAGGATCTTCTCAGCCAAGTCAGAGTCCATATCCTTGGGAAAACAGAGTACTTTGGTGTTGTTCTTACTACACAGACTTTTTACATCTCTTACAGCAGAGTCACCCACAATCAGAGTTTCAGGCCCAGTCGTTAGCTTTCCTTCTAGCCTTTTACTTTTGGAGTAGCTCCAAAGGGCGAATTAGACTGTGGGGGGCTGTCACAATCTAGGTAATTAATGGGCAACTGATACAGGATTTTAATCATTCTAGTGCCCAAGTTATTGCACAAAAAAACAGTTTTTAGTTGATTAATGCAATTTTTAAACATTTATAAATATAAAATCAATTTTCTCATTTGATTTGTTTAAGTCGTACCACGTTGAACAATGGATAAAATCATTATTCCAACGTTTGGGGGCCATGCTTTACAGTGATTTTAGAACAGCTTAGGGGTTGTGCCGGTGTGAGCTTCATGCATTAGCATATCCACTTAAATAACACACATATATGGAAACTTATAATGCTATTATAAAATTACAATATCATTTTGTATGCATAACCATTTGTATTAAGTCACCAATGGGCTTCCACAGATTTCACTTGTCAGTTGATAAACTGTTATTATAAAATATGTCTTATTGCCGCTTTAACGATGGCTGGGTGGGTGTATTAAAGTTCCAGATTTTTTATTTTTTTATTGCTGATACTTAGAAACACTCCTCTGCAGTACGACCTATGAGTACGACTCACCCTCTGATGGTATGACTTTTGGGTTGCAGTCCAAATAACGCTTAGAAAAGTGTGCCAGCACCCTCTCCCTCTCCTGAGTCTCCCCCATCAGGGCAAACTGCCGGAGGAAAGTCCTGCACACACAAACACAACATCAGTCAGGTTCCTTAGTTTCTATGTGAATACCTCTGCAAAGAGTGATCATCACTTTTATGTAATTAAATGTAATAAGTTGCCAGAGATAGAAGGTACCTTAGTATATTTACTCATGTTTTGTATTTACTTTAAACGTATTTACTACATGTAAGAGGGAAATATAGCGTGTTCAACTTTATTATATTTATCATACAGCTGTCCTTGCTTTTTGTTATTTACAACTGATAAAACATGATCAGTCTTAGAATAGAAACTACCTACTAAGATAAAACTAAGGGAATGAACTCCACCTCAACCTCCTTCAACATTAACATTTAAAATAAATGTACCTTTGTTTTCTAATAGGAAAAAAACTGATTTAAAACACATGATAGTGGAATTAGCCCAGGGATAACAGTTATTTTCTACTTCAATGTGTTAAACTGCCTTAAAATAAAGTGGAGTAGAAAAAATAGAAGCAGCATGATTAGCATAACAAATATCTGAGTAAATAAAATAAAATGACTACAGTATAAACCTCTGTTACACAATACACACTGTCTTCTGGCTGTAGGAACTGTACACACTGTCATTTTACTCTGAATGCAACACCAAAGCTGCCCTTTAGAGAGCAGCGCTTTACAGTGGAGAGCATTTACTACATGCAAACAAAAAACACTGAAGACTTTTAATTCAAATGAGATCAAATCAAAGCCATAATCATCAACATCTTTTCATAGGGAGATAACACACATCAAGACCACCATCATAGTCTAAAATAATCATTAAATCATTGGAATATCTTATTTTGGAGGGAGTGCAATAACATTTCAATGGCTGGTTATTTGCCAGACAATAATTTAAGATTTAACAAACAGTTTTATGAAAAACAGACTGGCACTGACTTAATACATAACATTTATTGATATGTAATGTAATTATAAGTGTTTTTAAATATCCAGTAATGTGTTCTCACCGCAATGCCTGGTCAATAGCGAGGCCCGCAAAGTCGAAGAAGCTCAGATACTCTTCTGCAACCATTCGGCTGAAGTCATTACTGTAGACAGACAGACAAGAGATAATATTACATACTTAGTAGAAAATATAACAAAATAAAGACAACAAAAACCAAATGCAGTGTCTATAAAAGCACAAAGTGTCAATGAATCATCCAAATTCTTTCTAATCTTTCTAAGCTCAGTGAATGGCCTCAGTTTGTGTTGTCGGTCAGTCAGCCGGAGATGCAGACCGGACAGAAACAATAGGAGGAGATTCCCAGGGTGCATCTGTCAGTGAGGAAAACCCTTTAATCCAACATGTTTTCTCATCAGTGAGCAAACAGCTGACAGACTGACGGGCTGATCGAGCGGAGCATCGCTGCAGGAATGCAGATGCAGTGAAACACAAATCTTTATCGGCAGAATGTAGAGTGGCATACAGTCAGAATGTATAGGAATGTGCAACAGTATTCAATCATTAAATAAACATAGAATGCAGCAGAAAGAAGCCTACAGTTTCAGAGTACCAGAGTTAGCATTTAGGATAAGAAGAGTGCCATTAGCTTCAGCTGATTCAAAATGCTGCAGCACGCGTATTGACCAAAGGGACCATATTACTCCTGTCTTGGCTGCTTTGTACTGTCTCCCTATACAACACAGGATATCAATTAAATTATTCTTCTCCTCACCTACAAAGCCTTTAATGGGCAGGCACCATCCTATCTTAAAGAGCTCATTATACCCTACTGTCCCACTAGGGCATTGCGTTCCAATAATGCAGGGGATTGGTTGTTCCTAGAGTCTCTAAGTAAAGTACAATGGGAGCCAGAGCCTTTTGCTATCAAGATCCTCTTTAGTGGAATCAGCTTCCAGTTTGTGTTGGGGCGGCAGACACCCTATCCGTTTTTAAAAGTGCAAAACAATATTATTACATAATGCAGGATAGCAAAAAAAAAGGGGTCGTACGCAACAAAACAAGCACACATATCAGACAAGGAAGCTATAAGATAAGCTTCTCCAATCGATGGGACGCTCAAGCGTTGACATACCCTATCATGAAAAACACCTGATTGGTCCGTGGTTATCTGATTGTGGCAGAGCCCTGTTCATAAACTTTCCGTCCAAACCATCCACAAAGAAATTCTGAAAACGTTTGATTCAGGAAATAGGCTATGCCACTGCTGAATCCTGTTTAATTCTAGAACTACTTCTTCCAGTTTGATAGCTTGGTTTAAGTTTTGTGAGCCAGCCGTGTCAAGATGGACAGACTAAATTGTATAAAGTTAGGATTTTCTTTATACTTTATTCAAATACATGGCATGAAATGGCCAATGATGTGTGAATGTTAGCTTCCGCAAGTGGCACATTGCTCTGTATTAACGACTTGTAAATGTTGTTAATGGGGTCGTAAGACAGAATAAAACGCTATTTAAAAGCAGTCGATTAACCATTTACATAAGCATTCATGATACAACCCAATAAGATCATAAAGTAGCTCACTTCTTGCTGAGGTGCCGCGCCACATCGGACTTCCTGAAGCCGTCCAAGTTGAAGAGACGTTTGGCCAGGCGCCTGGCGGCTGCCACGTCAGCACGGTGGCTGCCATTGGTGAGGGTCTCACTGCTGCCCAGACCCAGCCGCTCACTGAGGTCCTGGTCCAGCTCCGAATCTGTCGCCAGACGGGCCTTGTCCCTGCTGAGAAGACAGCAGGTGGGGGTTGAGAGGGTGAGCACAGGGCAGAAGTAGTGACACAAATAAATTGGACAAAACAGGATATTATGGAAAGAAAGGGAAATTAAGAAATGTTTTGGTCGAGGAGTGGAAAGAAGAAAAAATGATATTTGTCTAAATAATTGAAAAGGAAAGACAGAAGGGCATTAAAAGAGGACAAAAGAATGATGGTGATACAATAATAAAACTAATAACTGCGGTATATAAATAGTGTAATATTACTAAAATCTGATCTGTGCAGCACCGTGAGTTTCCAGCACTTCAAGAAAAGAATAGTGGAGACGAAAAGTGCAAAGCCGATCAAGAGAAAGTAGATTGTACAAAAATAAACATCTAATAAGTACAACTGTATTTTAAAATATAAGATGAATGGTGAGCGGATAGAGGAATATAAAAGAGGATTCAAAGACATACAGTATGGAGGGAGAGATGTGAGGTAATATATACAGAGTAGTAAACAAAGCCTATACTGTACATTCATTAAATGTAAGCAAATCATTTGATATTCAAACACTAGCTTTGGCATGATTATACACTTCACACATCTCTTTTGCTGGCTTGTTATCGCTTCCCAATTAACCCCCTTCAAAGGGCAACACATCCTACGTCTGAATTATCCTGTGATAATAATAAAGTAAGCATGTTATGTCACACTGAGCTGAAATAGAACTACTTTTCTGGCTTCTGGATAACAGAAACAAGGCCTCTGAGTTCAGTTACTTAAAAATCGACATGATGCTGACTTTCATTGATGCTATCAAGAGCAGTGTGACAATTCTTGTCATGGCTCTTGGGCCGACAGAAAGAAAGTGACAGTTCAACAGCTGAGAGTTGTATTCCAAAGAGCAAAGAACACTTCCTGAACAAGTGAGTCTCTCATTTGGATGTCTCAGCGTGAGGAACAAGCCAACAAAACCCACAGTCCCAGGGCTTTGCTTCGCACACTTCCTCACACTGTGAATGAGTCAGACAAAATCACACCAGAGCAAACAGTAATTAATAACACAGGGCAACTAGGGAAGAAAGCTCGAAGGGTTCAATGGTCAACTTTGGTTTCACAAAGAACACAGAAGAACAAGAACTACATTTACAGCCAATGTAAAGCTGTACTTAGGCACTGTAGAGCTTTGAGCTAAATGCTTAGCATAGCATGTATAATGTTTACAATGCTATCATTGTAGTTTAATGTGTTTGCATGCTGCTAATTAACACAAGCTACAGCTAAGGCTGATGTGACACTTAAAGTGTTGCACTAGTGACTAAATACAAATGTGAAAATGATAATGGAGCAAGATAAAAAGTCAGGTGATCATCAAAATAAATCTACAATTTATTTCAAAAGAGACATGTGTGTGATCTGCGGACATGTGTCTTCTTTAATACAGCATGATGTTTGCTTTTGTAAATGATAGACCCATTCAGAGTGAAATAAATAATAAAGCAGGGTATGCTTTGGGGCAAGGCTACCTTGTGATGACAGGTCTCAATCCCAGTGTTGTTTGGTTTGGGTGTTGTTCCAAGCATTTGGACTACATATGTTGTAAATGTATTATCTTTTCAATTTACACACGGCATGTATTGTACGTCCGTCCGTCCTGGGAGAGGGGTCCCTCCTCTGTTGCTCTCCCTGAGGTTTCTCCCATGTTCCCCTTTAAACTGTGGGGTTTTCTCTGGAAGTTTTTCGACAAGTGGGAGCCTAAAATTTTGTCATTATCTAGTATTAGGGGTATTTGTCTTACAAACGTTAACATCGATAACATTACAGACGAATAAGGAGATCAGACTATTCATACCTGGTATCAGAACAACTAACGGTAACAATTACCAAAACAGGTGGACCCCAAAAAACCTTGATCTCCCGATTAAACTCTCTCAACCTCGGATTCCATGTTTAATTACTATTTTTTATGGAAAAAAAACATTGGGTTTACCAATATAATTGAAAGTACTTTTTGTCAAACTGGAAATAAAATGTCTCTTTTGTAGTTTATAGTTTAGTTAGTTAGTTAGTTAGGTTAGTAGTTTACAAATAAGATTATCGGGTTAATAGTGTTTTACAAAGTGTAAACTAAGTTCACCTAAGTGGTCAAAACATTGGCTTTATAAGTCCATTCTGTTATGCCGTGGAGACAAGGGGAATTGGAGGTTGTAGNGCTGTTTGGGGGCCCTAGTCTTTACAGTTTTTGAACTACAATGGGGGAATTCCGAAGCCTTTAAGACAGGGGTGCCCAACCTTTTTTGAACCAAGAGCTACTTTTAAAGTTGCCAGCCTGCCGAGATCTACCAGTCCAAATAGAGGGGGGGGGGGGAAGCTGCAAGGAAAAATTATGCCATTTAAAAACATTAAACGGCCGTCAGCGAATCGAGCCGGCCCTTGGCGACCGGCCCTTGGCAACCGGCCGTTCTGTGATTCTCCAGATGGCTAGTCCACGGAGGGTGGAAAATACATACCGGAAGTAAACAAAGACGTGCAACGGGACGTTGTTCCCACGGGAAACAAAACTATTAAATGATTCAATCGCATCTCTTAAAATTCACAACTTATTATGAATTAATCATTCATAAACTCAAAATGATGTATTCACATGTTTCACTCTGTTACATATGCACGCAACGAACAGAAGAGCGTAGGGCAGAATCAGGAGGGAATTCCGTCTGGTAGCGTTTGTGCACTGTTTTGAAATGCCGCTCCTAAATGACCCTTCTTTGATAAAGCCACGATCGCATTGCAGATGAGACAGATGGACTTTGAATTGGAATAGATACAAAAATAATCATCCTCCCACTCGGAGTGAAAATTATATATTTTGGGCTTTTTTGCTTCTGCCATGATTGCGGACTTGTGTGTGTGCGTACTGTCCCTCCTGTTGACACGGACAACGTCAGCAAACTAGTGCCCACTGCCCACCAGCCACGCCCCGATACATGGGGTCACGCCAATCACAAAGCTCTGATGCGTTCATGTGCATTGTTCTGGCACAGGAAGATTATGTTATAGGAAATTAACGATAAAACTGAATATTGTTGTTCTATTTTTAGACACATCTCTCGATCGACTGGGAATCTCCCCGCGGTCGACCGGTCGATCGCGATCGACTGGTTGGGCACCCCGACTGGACTACATTATAACTGTAAAGGTTGTGGGCCACTCAATATACAATTTGTAATCCAAGTACGCTACTTATAAATTATAAAGAAAATGTACAACAGTCTACTGTAGAATTATTGCATTCAAAACTTGAAGAACAAAAGTCTTAGCATTAAAATACCTAGCCTACCTCAAGCAAAATAAGTCAGTATGCAAAAATGAACAATTTCAGAATGATATGGCATTGCAGTTATTGATGCATTATCGTGCATGCTTACACCACTTTAATTAGAAGTAGACCAGAAGTATAATATTAGAAGTATAATCATATTATGTTTTAATGACCAAACGTCACGCTATAATACTGCTTAAAGTCGATCTAAAAGATGGGTGAGTCCTCAGCACTACGTAACGGAGAGACTTAAAACGGATGTGATAACCACCTTCGGAAAAAACGACACACTATTTCAGTATGATTATGAGGAAGTGCGCTGATGCTCTCCAAGTCTAAAATCAAAAGTTGAAATATCTTTAAAGTTCCTCATCAGGACGTTTAAAGACATCATCTCCTCCTGCGGCCCCTCACTCGATCCTCAGCCCGGACAGAGGGCTCGTCAGTGGCCAGAAGGAGAGATGAAGACCCCGCAGATGATCCGAGATTCCCCGGTGCCTCTTCTGCTGCTGCTGACAGGAGTCTGCATCAACGGGTACAAGCCTGTCATCATCGTGCATGGCCTGTTCGATGGGCCGAAAGAGTTCCAAACGATGTTTCGTTACATAAACAAGGTAGGGGTTTCCAAAAGCTAAATGTGAAAAGTGTTTAATTTAGGGAGAGACTTCTGAAAGACAGAAAAAGCTCAGACCTTCAAAAAACAAAACAAAAGAGCAGAACATAGAAACCAATACCCTAGGAAATGTTTATATGTAAAGGATATATTAATGTATTAAAATAGTGAGGCATTAACTTGTAAGCCTCTATTTGCAGCTTGTAAAAGTGCTTTTAACTACTTTGTAATTAACAAAATAATACATCATCATGAGATGGTTATTTTGTGTATCAAAAGTCTGAATCTGCATAAATTGGTGACAAAATTCACTATTCATTATTAAATAACATCAAGTGCATCTTCAAAGTATACCATTTATTTAACAAAACTATTTATAAAACATGATATTTGTTCCATCAGTGAGGCACCAGCAGTTGAATTATTTGAATGGACCGGTCAAACATCCAACTCAACCCAAAATAATTTATTAAACTTATTTCAGGCTTAATATCTACAGTATAGCGATGCAGATTATTCTAAAGGCAGTCAGATTTCAAGAAGAGTGAAAATCAGCAAGCCGTTTTAATGTTAGGATTTCTTGCTCTCTGTCATATCTTATTTCTCCAGATCAGTTTTGTTTTAGAAGAATTAGAATATAATTGGGATGGATGAAACCCTCTTTTAATGGTCACACATGCAGAGCACACAGCACACACAGTGAAAGGTGTTCTCTGCATTTAACCCATCCTAGTACCAGGAGTCTAGTATAAGAGCAGTGGGCAGCTATTGTACAGCGCCCGGGGAGCAATGGGAGTGAGGGGGGAAGGGGGGTGTCCGATGCCTTGCTCAAGGGCACCACGGCAGGGCAGGAGGTGAACTGGGACCTCCCCAAGTAGCAGTCCACACTCCATATTTTTTAGGTCTGGTCGGGGACTTGAACCGGCGAACCCTACAGCTCCCAGTCCAAGCCCCTAGTGACTGAGCCACTGCCTGACATGACCCCACCTGACTGAATCGAATAATAACATAAACAGAAATCAGACTGGTAGTTTGCTGACTGTTGATTTATTCTGTGTTAACCAGGGTTTTGTAACTTCCTTTAAATGATT